CCATGAAAAAAAATCCGCACATTCATGTTTTCTCTGCGGATTCGGGGAGATCTCGACAAGCGCAGTCCAACCCCATCACCAAAAAATAAAAATAAAAAAAAATTGACCCGGTTTTGGACCCAACCGGAATTCCGGTCCGGGCCGGTCCAACCAACCGGCCCGGCTGGGACCGGTCCGGTCCAACGGGCCGGTGGCCGGTGCAGCCCTGCTTTATTCAAGTTTATTGTGTTCACTCGTTCCATTCCTTCTCTGCACTACCGCAGCACCTGGATTTGAGTTCGTTTCCGGTTACATGTGTGTACCATTCAGTCCCTAATCACAGAAAGCAGTTTGAGGGGGGGGGGGGAAGTAGAAAAAAATTTAAAAAAAAATTAAAAAAAATAAAAAAAACTTAAAAAAGGAAAAAAAATAGCAGCAGTACATATACGAGAGAGGGGGACGAGAGGACCGACTTCAGCAAAGAACATGTACACAAAGCACGTCTGTACCTCACAAAGCATCTTGTGAACATTTTCCCATCCTGGTATCCTTCGATGACGAGGCAGTTCCACATCCCCCTGATCCGCTTGAAGACCATTTACCTCTCCTCGTACCTCTCCTACCTCTCCATCTCCATGAGTGGTGGTCACTGAAGCCATGTGCAATATCTCTGACAGCTCCCCATCGCCAAGCTCACTGTGAACTTGCTTCAGAGCCCCAAAGACCCTCAAGATCGCGGAATGCATGGATGGGATAATCAGTGGAGGCCAGATCTCGCTTCTTGGTCGTCTTTCCCCTGCTGAAAACGCCTCCAATCCATACGTTCCTGCACATCCACGGCCAGGAGCTAGAAACCCATCTAGCTCTTCCTGGAGAAATGAAACACATGATGATCAACCACAGCAACCTCAGATCCAGAAGCTCCTCAGTGTGTAATTAAAAAATGCACTGAAAGCAGAACGATTATTGCTCCTCAGTGATACACATGACAACGCTCAGAAAAAGAAAGTACAAACAAAGATAACAAAGTGTGTGCTGTAGGCATGAGAGTGCCTCTTCACACTCCTGGAACTTGAATACTGGACTGACTGGACCCGGGCTGAACGTGCCATGACCCAACAACCAGACGAAGCACAGCAAGCTAGAGAGGAATTTGTAGACAGCGTGTTAGGAGCAGGCAGAATTATTGGCAGCCTTGACGGTCGGCGGATCCACTTCAAATGCCCAGGCCAAGCGAACTGCAAAGACGGAGAAGACGGAGGATCTCGGAGCAAAAATTCCCTGCTGCATAGTCAGACCGGATTTCATAATCCCGGTCTTGTTGCAAACTAAGGCAGCTGCTGGCCGGCAGCATCCAGAGATACCTTCCCTCTCTTTTTCTTAATTTGGACCATTTCTCAATTTATGCATGTCATCCTTGCGCAGGGGCCATGCTAATCTTCTCTGCATCTTTCCAATTTTAACAGATGTCGGGAAGGACTCAGACTGTCAGATTTCATTTTCCAAATTTTCAAAAAAAATCAATGATTCTTCTGTGTTACCTTTGCACAGAAGCTTGCAAGTAACCAACATATAAATAATACTGGGCAGAGTTCAGCCTCCTGATGAGTCGGTAAAACTCCGACAAAAGTTACGAAACAGTATGTATGTCACATCTCCTCGTTTTTTGTTGTTGCCCTCTTCTTACTCTCTGCCAATGGTTCACCAGGCAGTTCTCTATGAGGATACGATATATGTAATATCATAATATGTATATAGTATATACCATATAATCTTGTTCTGAGAGGAAGCAAACGCTCTTGCAATACCCCCTCACCATTTGAATTAAGTACCATCGTCCCCTCAACACAACACAAAGCACCCTGATAATTAGTGTATATACAAGCTATCTTTCCAGTCTGATAGAGTCAAAACGAGGGTGGGTTGTGCTCAAGGGAAGAGAGAGTAGAATGTGGATGACAACGCAAAGAGCAGTGGCAGAGACTTGGGTTAAGGGGCTCACCTTGCACGTGTTCAAAAGACCCAGCATGCGGCTAAGAAAACGATGAGCAGCGGACGAGGTGGTTGAAGCAGCCTTGGGGGCTTTATCTCCGGACCGTGTGCTTCTAGAGGCTGATGGCCGACCAGGATCCAAACTCGTATCAATGCCCACAGAGTTCACAGTCTCCAACAGGACTATTGCCTCTGAAGCTGTGCTCACAAGCCTGTCAGTGTAACTCTGCACAACAGGAAAGGGTGCAACAGTGACAATACCAGAGGGGAGTTAGGAGGGGCCGATGGAGTGGAGGACGAATGAAATGCGTCTTATCCGAGTAATCAGTTTCAGGGCAAGTTTATTACCTGGCCCCTGGTTCTGCTCCAAACATCTGGTCCATCCGAAAAACCCATGACGAAATGGAATGAAGGGAAAACGAAGATATAATAACTCCTATACATTTCTCGGCCTTTTGGCTAAGTAAGAGCAAGTGTAGTATCTGTTCTGAACAGTTTAATATCTGATCCGTGGTCCATCGTGACACATACACACCAAAACAAAAAAGGGAAAAAAAAGATATAATAAGTTAATAACCCCCGATACCCCACACGGTGTCCCCGGAAAGACGATAGCCTGATACACATGATGGCAAGCGAAGGGCTTTGAAGCTTGAAGTCGAGTCACAAATGGTCGCCAAGTTGATACCGTGGTCCCCGGTTCACATATGGTCGCCGAGTTGATTCCCTGGTCCCCGGTTCTATTTGGAACATCTGGTCAATGGAGAAGGGAATGGAATGAAGAGAAAATGAGGTGGACATATGCAGCACAGGGAAGGAGACGGAGGGGCGAGCAGAGGAGCCTATAGAACACGGGATAGCCTAGCCAAGAAGAACGTGGTGAAGTAAAACTGAAAAAGAAGAAGACCTAACATAGCGAGATTCAAATTTTGAGAGAAGTGGTGTGGTGGAGAAAGAGGCAGCGACAATACAAGAAGATGAACCTATAGACCATGGTACGGCCGACCCAGGAAGACTGGCCAAAAAACTACAGTTGGACAGAAAGGCCTAACATAACCAGTTTTCAACTTTGAAGACGGGAAGGAAGAGAGAGAAAGAAGCAAGGTCGTACTTTTGCTCTCCACATCCATGTCCTTGTAAAGCTCTGGAAAGGGAGCACCATATTGTCTTCATTTTCCGTCTCTTTACCTGAAGCAGAATGAATCACAGAAAAATTGCGTTTTGACCCGGAAAAAGAGAGGAAAAATTGCAGACAGAAAAAGAAAGTCGACAAGAAGGGCAGCCACAAATGACAGACAAATGTCAGGAGACGGCAAAGAATATCAGCTGGCAGAATAAAAGAGAACTCAGCCCATCTTCCTTCGGAACATCCCTTAAGGCTGGAACAATAAAGACAAGCCTAGCATGCCCCCACAACCCCAAAAACAGAGAGAAAGGGAAAAAGCACAGTTAGTTCACTTGACGCTTAATTACAAACTTCCTCGTCACACAGTTCACTTGTCTTTGGATGAGGTTCTTGGGGTGGAACTGGTAAAAAGACTGCAAGCAGCTCAACACCCGTTAAGCCCTTTTCTAGCCAATTAGTGAAGGAAATGGAGCCAGGGCCATAAGGACCTTTTTCTCCAAAAAAAAAAAAAAAAAAAAAAAAAAAAAAAAAAAAGTTAAGGAAAACGTAAAATAGCAGACAATTTAGTCTATGTTACCAGATTCACGCGGCCCGGGCGGGTCGGCCGGCTGGGCGACCCGGGTGAACTTGCACGGGGGGTAAACTGCCCGGGGTGTCCGGGCGACACCAAAAAAGGTTTATTTAAAATTATTTTTTTTTTGGCGGTGGCCCAGTGGGGCAATTTTGTGCCCACTAAGACGTGCCCAGATCCAGCCTTTCTTTGAGTTTGGTGATATCTCTATGGGTTATAAGAGGGGTTCAAAAGGGGCTTAAAGGGGCTTAAATGGGTATGATATAATTTAGTTAGCGAATTTTGTGGTCACCCTCAGGCAAAAGATGTTTGGTTTGCAATTTTGCATGACATAGTTTCTTTTCAGATTTGTTTGAATTTTTATTTCTTTTCGCGCTGGGACTGCCCGGGACCTTGACCGGGACTTTGCTCCCTACCGTATTGGACTGCCCTACTACAAATCTGGAGGGAAATCATGCCAAGAAAACCTAAACAAACCAAGGTCTAAAGAAGATACTCAGGCAACCACTATTTGGTAATCCATGGATCAGAGACAAAGGAGACCTCCCATGGTCTATCGTGGATCAATCACGGAGTTTGGAGAATAAAAGACATAGGGACGAGGACAAGTACGACAGGTGGGCAGAAAATGATCTCAAAATCCTCCTGAAAGGCTGTCATCACAGGGACGGAAACCTGAAGATGATCATACAGAGCATCCCTGACAGCTGGAAAGAACTGCTCAAGGAGGAATTCACATGGAAATCACGAGAACGAGGGGTCCTATTCCAAGAGACCACACCAATGAGGGCGTACCAATTCCCTCATTGACAAACAAACCCCGGATCACTATCAAGTCTTCACCTCTTTCCCGATCCAGAGGAACAAGCGTGATGAACAAGTTATCTACAACATGGATGTACCAAAAAAAAAAAAAAAACCTGGCACGCTTTCACACTACGGAAAGTGAGAGTATTGGCTACTATTGAGCCTCCGGCCAAAAAAAATCTTCCAGATTGGGGCAGGGATACAAGAAGTAGAATTCAACCCAGAAGAGTGGGCCTAGCCTCCACCGAGGAACAGAACCGAGAAATCACGGAGCTTTCCCGAACGTCCGAACATGTTCGGGTGTTCGGCCAAACGCCACCCGAACGTGTTCGGCCGAACATATTCAAAAAAAAAAAAAAAAAAAACTTTTTTTTTTTTTTTTTTTTTTTTAATGAATTTGACCATTGCTCAAAGGCAAAAGATGTTTG